TCCTAATTGCAACAAGTAAGTCAATGCTGGTCTTTCTCTCTTGTTTTGAATAAGAAAGTCCTGTACTTTACTTTGCATTTCTTCTTTCATTTTCATATATGTATTTTCAATAAAGGGTTAGGGTTAGGTAACTCTATCTCTTTTCATGACTCTCTTTTCATACTTTGCATAAACATTCCGCATAATGCCTAGGTATTATATATAATGCCTAGGGATAGTATGTAGCAGGGGTGTCAAAGTCAGGCCTGCAGGCTAGATCTGGACTGTGAGGTGGTTGGGTCTGGCCCGTGGGGCCATCCTGGTCTACCCGTGTTGCTTTGGCCTGGTCTACTCATGTCACTTTGGCCTGGTCTACCCAATGCAGAGAGGAAAGGTTAGGCTAGCAAAACTTCGCCGGTCTACCTAATGAGAAGAAGAAAGCCAGCAAAGCTTTGGCCCAGTCTACCTGGTGCAAAGAGAAAAGACCAGGCCAGCAAAGCTTCAGTCCGGTCTACTTGGTGCAAAGAGGGAAGATCAAGCCAAATGTAGCTTCAGCCCAGCCTACCCAATTAGGCCAGCATGGCTTCAGCCCAGTCTACTCAATGTGAAAAGGAAACATGCCAGCAGTTTGGGGGTGACATCAAGCTGGCCATGCCCATCTAGTCAGCCACATCCACCCAGTCAGCCATGCCCCCCCTCCCCCCGAGGTCAACCACAGCCCTGATGCATCCCTCAATGAAATTGAGTTTGACACTCCTGGTATATATTATATTAAAATAACACACACATTTCATACTTTACCTAGAAATGTCCCATATTCTATTGATTTCCTAAGCATTCTATACAATGCCAACTTTTCACACATTGCCAGTAACATTCACAAATCCAGCTACAAAATACTCCCATATAATCAACAGAACTTAATTTAGAACTTCATTAATTTTAGTCTCATTTGAGTCCACTCCAAGCATACATACAAATATGGTTCTTGTATGTAAATGAGATGAATAAAGAATATATGAGAGAAATTCAAAAATCTATTTACAGTCAAGAAAAACAGAAGCAATGGCCTCTGTTTTTTAAAGTCTTTGTTACTTAAACTAGTTTACTTCTAGATATTTATGCTTCAAGTGGATATGAACAAGAATCAGGTGAAATAAATATGAAATGAGATGGAGGAAAGGATAACAAATGGAATAACATCCTGATAAATGTGATTACAGCTTATATGCAGTATCTCTAAGGACTTTGAATAAAGTCTACCAATGGAACATAGCTTGCTATTAACATAAAATAAATATGCCTTGGAGAAACTGTTGCTTCCCACTCCCCTAGAGAATAGCGTGGATACATTTGTAACATTATATAATGTTTATTACCCCCAGTTGAAAAAACCTGTGATGGATCTTTCTCAGGATTGCTAAACTTTGTCATCAACCCCCATTGTACTATCTCTGCAGTTCAACTTCTCAGATGTTGAGAATGAATTTCCAGTGACCTGATAAAGTAGACAACTACATTTCAATGAGCTCTGTGCACAGTGCAGTCTACGCAAAGCACTGATTCACAACTTAAAAGAGTTACAAATGACCTTTCTGACTCAAATGAAGGATAATTGACCTTCAAATATCCAATCTTCATTGTTTTAGGTGGAATAAAAGTATTACTTTTCCACTGTTCTTTGCTCTTCACACATTTGCTGTCCATTATGTGGGCTAATGACTATTCCCTTGTTTTGTTTTTTCCTCCAACTACATTTTTAGTCTTCCTCTCTGATTTTCAATCTATTTCTGTTTAGTTCTCCTGATCTTAACAGGCTAATTATATGTATTGACCTGGATCTGATTTCCTAAGGTAGGAAATCTAAAACAAAAAAAATCTAGTCTGGATAGTTTAAGTGGCCATTTTCTATTCATTACCTTATGAAAGATTTTGATAAGACATAGCTACTAAAGGTAAAGGTTTCCCTTTACCTTTGTGTCTGTCTGACTCTACTAACCATACAATATATAACAATTTGAAGTTTATAAACCATAGTCACTAGTTCTTAATCCTGGAAATTGTGTTTACATTTAAATCTATAACTGATACTAGACAGCCCATGCTCCTCTGAGTCATTGTTTCAGAGATATTTCCTGGCTCGGAAGCTGGCTTGGAACATCAGAAATCTTCCTTCCTTTCTCCCTTGCTTCCTTCATTCCTTCCACCTTCCCTGTTCCTTCCTCACTCCCTCCTCCCTTCCTTTCCTCCTTCCTTTCCTCTGCACTCCCATCCCCTCTCTTCCTCCCCTTCATTCTGACCTTATCTTCTTTTCTTTCTTTCCCTCCCTCCACAGTTTGAGAAAGTGCATGGGAATGCATAATAATTGTCCTTTGGCTTGGGCAAAGTGTAGGAGACATGAGTTGTGGGAATGGGAAGTGGCCAGCAGAGGCCAGGAAGGGTGTATGGTGGTTCATTCCTCCCTGTTCCTTTCCTCCCTTCCTTCCCCTTTTTTCTTCTTCCCTTCTCCCAAGTAACTTACCCCCAAGCAAGCGGTTGCTGCTGGATGAAAAAGGGAGAAAAGGATTGCAAGAATGGCTGGGAAACTGTCATATACCATTTGAGATGACATGATCACAGCAACAGCCTCTTTTGTAAACCCATTTTTCATGCCTGATATTATATTCTTCATTTTGCTTCTCTTTTACATGTTGTTTTGCAAAGCAAATACAGAAAGTACAGACACAATTCTCAGATAGGCATCAATGGTACATAAACGTTTTCTTCCATCAATTGTATTTATAGCTAAAAAGCCTAAAAGCAATTTACAAATATAATATAAACCTGGCATTGATAAAACATTTTAATGAATAAAATATTTAATAAATATTACATAATGTTTTCTTTAGTTTCTCTGCTTGCTTCTGAAAACACCAGGTGTCAATTTTGTTTACTGCATAAACTGGGAAGATGTCTCACTATTAAACTGTCAAGCTCATAAATATTTACAATTCTAAATTGGACAGCTTCGTACATTTGATTTATAAATAAACATTCCTTTTAGAATCTAGACTGACAAAAGTTAGAAAGGCTAGACAGAAAATTTTAGGATGTTGTCATGTCAAAATAAATGGTAGCCAATAGTTGCCAACTCCTGTGATAAAAGAAAGCGTAAGGATCTTGATCATCATACTGTATAAAAGTAAAGGTTTCCCCTGTCCAAAGGTGCTTTTTCAAGAGACACCCTTCTGGTTTTTCTCTGAAGATATTTCGCTTCACATCCAAGAAGCTTCTTCAGCTCTTGGACTGAGAATCCCCATAGACATTTCCCTTGTCCAGTTGTGACTGGCTCTAGGGGCAGTGCTAAGATTTTCTTAGCTGAGGGTACCAGCATTGTCCGAAAATGTGTCCATGGCCATGACTATACTCAGAGGCACAGAGAACACTCTTACCTTCCTATTGAAGGGTACTTATTCATCTACTTGCATTTGCACACTTTCAAACTGCTAGGTGGGCAGGAGCTGGGGCAAGTGAGCACTTGGGCCTCAAATCCAGGCTGTCAACTTTACAGCTGACAAGCTCAGCATCTTTAACCACTGAACTATTGTTCTCCCTTCAACCTGTGCACAGGTTTATAACATAGATGCAATTGTCATTTCAAGTTACAGTTCATTCCAGAGTTGATGAGATGTAGAACAGACCTATTTTAAGTTTTATCCCAGGAAACCCCCATCTAATTTAAAACTTACTGATTTGAGTTAGGTTTTTCTAATTATGAATAATTTTGGATTTTACTTAATACAGTGAAAACTATTAAAAGTAATAACAATTTTAGCTTAAATGTCATCCCTTTCTTTTTTACCATAGTTTGCTGGGAAATGCTGTAAAAAGCTGGAACACTTTGTTCCTCAACTATCTTTCATTATATAATTTTGTTCTCTTTACTTTTCACCAGCAAAACAAGATTGCCTAATTTGAGAAGCATCCTTTCTATTTATCTGGGATGGGGACTTTTATGGCAGAATGTTGTAAACAATATTTGTAATGCCTTTTTTATTTTATTTTATTTTCCTGACTTGCTTTCTGTTGAAGTCTCTTACTTGGGAGTCTGAACAAATGAACAGAACCGTTTCAGGATTTTGCGGGAGTTGTAATTTTGGTTATACAAAATGAAAAGAATTTGCCCCTGTAAGAAGTCAAAGTGTTTCCTGGAATCTTCTGCTTTACTGCTGCAGAGAACAAAATAAGAGACTTTGATAGAAACATGGCAAAACTGTTACCTAGGCAAAGAAGAATTAAACTTTTTCAAGTCCTGGTAAGCAAGGTAATATTCAGAAAAAACTCAGGCAAGTGCCTTCTTCATTCAGTGGGATGTAGGAAGAAGTGATTTAGACGTACAAATAATTTACAGTTAAAATCTTTCTGTGGATTAATTTCACAATTATCATATAGTAGGGTTTAGAATTACAAAAAATGTTAGGGTTGCAATCCGAACGATGAAAAACAGGTACTATTATATTCAGAAAGCAGAAAAGTCTCTAAATTTATGTAAGATTTTCAGTATTGGTATTGTAGAGAAAGGAGATTCCCTTGAGATCTGCTAATCCTAGTGCCAGAATGGAAAAATCACTTAACAATGAATATTACCACTATTGTGCAAAGATACGTAGAATCCTACTTATTCTTCACACATTATAACTTGACAATTAACATAATGATCAGTTATCGTTTTATGTTCTGTTACACAATTGCTAAATTTTAGCTGATGTACCTAACCTTATTTCTATGCCATGGTTTCCTGTCTATATGGCCATTGCACAATAAATAGAACTCAAATCTCACAGGAGATTTATCCAATTAATACCCTCGAATTTGCAGCCAAATCCCTGGATCCAAATAGTAGCACCATCTGTTTCTGAAAGTAGTGTTAATGTATCACTATCTTCCTTGCAGGGTATTTAATGTGGCAGTCTGTATATCTTAAGAATTAAGTCAACTACTGCAGTACAATGCCCAGTCTTTCATCTTTGTTTTCCTTACAGAGGGGCCTTTTCAGAAGTTTTCCTGGTGAAGCACAGAATCACTGGCAAGCTTTTTGCTTTGAAGTGCATTAAAAAGTCACCAGTCACCCAGGACAGCAACCTGGAGAATGAAATAGTTGTGCTGAAGAAGTAAGTAGAGTTGGGAATGCATGACAGAGTTCAATGTTTCTTTCAAACTTCTTCAAGAAGTCTACAAGTTACTTATTTTAGAAGAATTGGGAGGGCAGTAAACTAAAGATTGTCTCATCTGACTGAAGGCTTCACAGATGAAACATCAATATTTCTGCTTAAAATCCACTAAAACAGTGCTTTTCAACCTTACCAACTTTAAGATATATGCTAACAAATGAGGGCTACTGGACATGAATGGTAAATAAATAAACTGTGCATTTAGAGTAGTATTGTATCAGGAACTGTTTTCCAATTTAGCTATAAAAAACCCCATAAAATAGTCATCTCTTTTACTATAGATAGTCCTCACTTAACAACCACTCATTCAGCAACCTTTTGAAGTTATAATAGTGTGGAATAAGTGGAACTTGCTACCAGTTTTTGCAATGTTTACCATTGCAGCCATGTGGCCAAAATTCAGGTGTTTGTTGACCAGCTTGCATTTCTGACCATTGTAGTCACGTGATCACCATTTGTGACTTCCCCTACCAGCTTTCAATAAGCAAAGATCAATCTGGAAGCCAGCAGGAAGTCACAAGATGCCCTCATAATCACACGAGGTCTTTGTTTAATGACCAATGTCTTCACTTACCATAAAAATGCTATCTTAAGTTGTGGTGGTCATACAGGTCTTTAGTTAATGAATAGAGTTTCCAGTCACAATTAATGTCTTTAATTGAGGACTCACTCAGGTTTTCAAGGTACATGACTATAGCCTTGGGGAGCCTGTTTTGTACTCTATAGACATCAACAATACAGATCCATTAAAAAGACCCTGCACTGAAGCCCAAAGATATTGGCATAGAATAAACAAATGGTTAGAGGAAATAATGGCGGAGCAAACTGAATTAAAACCAGAATTCTTCTTATTGGGGATATTTAATAGACAAATTTCTAAAAAAGTCAAATATTTAATACTGCACATTCTTACTGCAGCCAGAATAACCTTTACACAGTGTTGGAAACAAGCAGATATTTCAACAGAGGAAATGTTATTCAGAGGCTGTTATTCAGAAGATAACAGCCTATGCAGAGATGGATAAGTTAACCTTAGCACTTAAGGAAAAAGAAACATCAGAATATTATAGAAGCTGGGAATGCTGGTATGACTGGATAGAACAAAAATAGAAAATATATTAGTAAACAACGGAAAATGTAAAAGAGGTAGTAATTATATATTCGCAATAAGATGTATTTGCAAATATATCACCAATATTGTAAATATATCACAAATATATAACCAATATCTCCAATATTGATAACAAACAAGGAACCATAGACTGTCGATAGGCAAATTGTTAGTTTTTAATCATTTTCTTTTTTCCTTTTCCTTTTTTTTCCTGTGTGTTGTGTATGTGTTTGTTTGATATTTTAGTTGTATAATTAATAAAGTTTTTTTTTAAAAAAGACCCTGCATTGTGGTCTAAAATCATACTATATTTGATCAAGCAAACCACATCCACATCAGAACTCGACCAACATTCCAATTCCAATTCCCTGAGCGAAAGGCAGATCTTCACAACCTTCTGAAAGACCAAGGTTAAGGCTATCAGTATTTTAGAGAGGAGGCTATTTTCCAAACAGGCCCATGACAGAGAAAGTATATGTTCTAGAACCCACTTAGTGACATTGCTTCTCTTACAAGACCCAGAGTAGGTCCACTCTTCCAAATCTAATGAGACAGACAAAACCATCAAGGATAGGATTCATTTTGTGAATTTTAGTTTTATAGTTGGAAATTGTGATTTAAGTAGATCTTCAATCTGATCCTTCAAGTATATTTACATTATTAAGAATAGAGAAGAAAGAAAATGTAAGAATTTATTTTTAGAATAACATATTTTAAGAAAGCTATACTAGTAAGAAATCTTAAATCTTGCCTCCTTCATAATAGTGTATGGAACATAAGAAAAAGTCCAGCCACATTCTCCTAGAAAGAGTACAATTTTTAAACAAGAAAAAAATGAAAATAATGTATGGCTAACACTAGTGGGGAAAATGGATCTCTTGTTATTAGAAGCTGAAATACATGTTTGTTCCTTAAATGAAAGAACCAGAGTTCAATCTGAATGAAAAACATCTGGCACCAAAGAGGAGTGGATGTTAGCTTGCTTTTTAATGATCTCTTATTCCATCAGATCAACATTGCATTCTGTTTTTGGTTGCAGAATAAAGCATGACAACATAGTAACACTTGAGGACATTTATGAAAGCGCAACTCACTATTATTTGGTAATGCAACTGTAAGTATCAACATATAATTATGTAAAAAATAAATGTTGCACAATTTTTCAAGACAAGAGTCAGTAGCTTTTGAGAATCATAGCTGAACACACCTGGGTCACACTAGGTTGTAGAAAGTGGCATTAAACAGTCTGGTAACAATGTGGGAAAGTTTTTGGTTTTTATGGGAGCATTGTAAACATCTCTGTTTTTATGCTTAAAAGAAGAATGGTAGCCGTAGAGATACAGCCCAACCCAACAGTCTTCATTGTGACATCAATACATTCTCTCTCTGTGTTGTAAGTTTACAATGCAAGTATAACATAAATTATGTAAGATAAAGTTGCAAAAAATGTAAAACACTATTCTAACAATTTAAAATAAAGGGTTTCTAATGAATTGGACCACTTTATCTTGTTGATCTGATTATTTTTGCCCTTGATTTCTTAGGTTCTATCATAAACTAACATATAAAAGATCTAAGAAAAATTCTGCTTTCTCTTTTTCTTTCTTAGGATTCTTTTTAATGGCTTTATTTTATTCCTTATTTCTTAATTGTTTGTTCTGCCTGCACTTGACTTTAAAGCACCAAAACAATCTCAAACAGTTGAAGATTGTCTCCCCCTCTATCTCTTTCCCAAGTAGTTCAAATTGTTCCTCCAAAATAAATTCATCAAGGGAAATCTTGAAATTTCACAATATATCAAGTTTTTTGTAGTCTAACCCTTCTAGCCTTGCAGTAAAGAAACAATATTTTCCTGGTTTTGGGTGGTTCTAAAACTGTATTGCCCAAAATACGCGAATACAGCCATAAAAGCAGCTTCATTTTTATAATAGTTTGTTTAGGTATTGTAAAGAATGAAGACAATATTGTTAATAACAGTATGAAAAGTATTTTATATCAAAATTGCATTATTTTATACTGTCTCTGATCCCCTTTTTTATCATTTTCATGACCCACAAGTAACCAAAACTAGAAAATCATGTTGCAAAGATTACTAATCTACTTCTTTCTCTGATAATTAATGACTGGGCTAAACTAATTAATCTGAGAAAATAATAGCAGACAGACAAAAACTTTACACAGTACAGAGTTTCCCTGGGTATACAGAAGTAGTACCAAAGTCAACACATAGGCACATATCAAAGGGGAACAGATCTACACATTCAGCAAAATATAAATATTACAGAGGGCATATTCACACACACACACACACACACACACACACTAAAAGACTATGCCTATATGTTTCCTATAAATATTCCCCAAGTTTCTGTACCCCAATCTTGTAGACTACTTTCGAGGGTTTATGTCTCAAATGAAAAATGTCCTTTTCAACTAGCATGTCTGCATTTTATTCTGATTTGTTCTTGCACGACCCCAACTTGGATCAGGACTTCAAATACTTATAAATAATTTGGCAACCCAGCCAAGAGTCTGAGACTAACTTGGCCAGTTGACCCAGCCCGGGTAAGACTTCACCTAGATGGTACCAGACCTTTTTGTCTGGAGGTACTGCTTTCAGACCCTGCCCACTTGGCACTACTGGTAAAGGAAGTTCTGAGCTTTGAACCAAACAACTGCTTGTATGGGAAATAATCAGCAAGTACCTCATTTTTTGTGTGTTTGGGCCCGGGGAGTTGGTGGGAATATATGTGTATCCCTCTCCATCTCTTTCCTCCCAGTGCAGCTGAACCTTACTTCCAGTGCCATTCCCAGCCGCACCCAACTTCCTACAAGCCCCGTCAAGATTTAGAAGAGAAATAAGAACAACATAGTATCTAATTTGTAAAAGGGATGGCCAATATTAAGAATTATGCAACATAACATCCATGAGTAGGAGAATTGCTACACAGCAGACAGATGAATCCTGAGCAAAAGTAGCATGGATTCACTCACATTCAGAAGAGGAAGGAATTAATGAGAAAATATATAACTTTTGTATGCTGAACCTTTAAAAGGGGAAATAGTTTTGCTTGTCAGCAATAAACCAGGCTCTGAATTCAAAGCTGAATTGGAAGTAAATTCATCTAATCAAGATATTTCCTGCTAATTATGTCCTAGTAAATTACATCAGGCAAGAAGGAACTTCTTTATATGCCAGATTTAACAAAAACAGATCCTAGGCATTTGGAGACAGGCACAAGCATTGCCTGATCTAAGGCTTAACTGTCTTAACTGTTTAATATGTCTTGTCCTGTATTATAAGCAATCCATTTTTCTTTGCAGATCCAAGTGTGATACAGACCCATAGGGAAGCACTTGCAGTTTATTTCTAACTGAGGCCTCAAGTTGTTTAGTGGTGAAACTGAGTATTAAAATTAAATGTGTTTATTTATGTTTGACTTCATATATAAATTGAGCAGTATTCAGGGGTGGAATTAAATTTTCTTAACAACTGGTTCTGTGGGCGTGGCCTAATTTGTGGGTGTGGGTTGGTGGTCACATGACTGGGTGGGTGTGGCTTGCTGACTGGGCATGGCTTGGTGGTCACATGACTGGCTGGGCATGGCTTGTATGTTAATATTGTAAATATTTATGTAAATATTGAATTTTTTATTTAAAAAAGAGCAACTTTTATTTAAAAAAGAGCAAAGCAAGCAAGCAGATTGAGTTGCTCACAGAATCACAGATTCACTTAGAGATCTATCTATCTGCAATCTGCTACCTGAGTCTCTCACATAAAATTGTTTGCAAGAAAACTCATAAAATTAACTCACAACACACCATGTATGTAAATATTGAATTTTTTTATTAAAAAAAGAACAACTTTTACCCAAAATCAGGCAAAGCAGACAGGCATATTGAGTTGCTCACAGAATCACAGATTCACTTAGAGATCTATCTATCTGCAATCTGCTACCTGAGTCTGCACTGAAAAATAGAAGCTTCAGTCCTATGGAAGGTTCAGCTCTGCTTTTAGATTAACTAGAAAGCAAGAAATTCAACAATTTCCTGCTTTCTAGCTAATCTAAATGTCTTGGCACAGCAGAACAGCTGATGGTCGGTGGGGGGGAAGGAAAAATAGCAACTTAGCAGGCAAGTTTGATAGCGCACGTGCCAGGTAAGGAGTGAGTGGGTGGGGAGGGGAGGAGCCAGCCAGTGGTGCAATTTGCCAGTTCTCTGAACTGGGCAGAATAATAACAACCGGTTCTATAGAACTGGTCCAACCAGGTAGAATGCCACACCTGGTAGTATTGCTAGCACTGAAGCTTTACAGGAATATTTTTTTCTAACCTGAGAATTAGAAGTGACCCAGCAACAGGTCCTACTTCTATAGTTTAGCATCTAGGTTTATAATCCCATTCATATGACAAATAAAGCATGTAAGAGGTACAAAATTTCCCAGTGTTACCAGTAACTAAACTTATTTGACACTGTATATAAATTAACACAGGAAACGGATCATAGAAAAGTTAAACCAATAAGATTCTCTCTACATCAGCATGTAATCCAAACTGAATTTTCTTGCACAGAGTGTCTGGAGGAGAATTATTTGACCGTATTTTAGAACGGGGTGTTTACACTGAAAAGGATGCTAGTATTGTAATTCAACAAGTCCTGGAAGCAGTGCATTATCTTCATGAAAATGGGATAGTTCATCGAGATCTAAAGGTATTTTTTAATGATGTCTATTTAGATATCAGTGTATTTTACCTATAAGTCATGCAAGTATCCATGAATTTGCAGTGGGTTTTTTAAATCACACCTGCCTCCTAATATGCAGATACACACATGCGCACACGTGCGTGCGCGCACACACACACACACACACACACACACATATGGCTCCCTCTCTCTGGAACACCATACCCTCAGAGATTAGAATGGCCCCCTCTCTAAAACTCTTCCAGAAGTCACTGAAGACCTGGTTCTGCCAGGAGACCAGAGTGGGATGGAGCCCATCAAATGGTTCATGTGATGTGCTGTTGTCGGGGTGGGGGTGGGGGGATGGGAGTTGGAGGGTGATTTTTTTTTATTTCAGATTTTGTTCTATTGTGCTTTATTAATTTATTTGATTCTTTTTGTTAGTTTTTGGTTTTTTGTTTTGTTTTGTTTTTAAATATGGTTTTAAATTCTGTAAGCTGCCTCAAGTCATCATGGGTGAATCAGTGGCAATATTCTATTCCCTAACTTTAGATCAACTATATGCACACAAATTTAAATTGCATACTCTGGTCTTGGAATATCTAGATTCCTTACAGCAATCTTCTGTATTTAGTTTAGAAAAAAATTTAATTTAGAAAAATTTAGTCAAACATTTTTCCATTGTTCAGTTAGTTTTGCCCCATTTTATGACCTTTCTTGCCACAATTATCAAGTGAATTAGAGTTAGTAACACAGTTGTTAAGTGAATCTGGATTCTACATTGACTTTGTCTGTGAGAAGGTCACAAAACGTAATCACATGATCCTGGAACACCACAACTGTCATAAATATATGTCAGGTACCAAGCATCCAAATTTTGATCCCATGACCATGGGAATGCTGCAACTGTCATACATGCAGAAAATGGCCATAAATCACCTTTTTTTAGTGCCATTATAATTTTGAACAGTCACTAAACTAATGGTTGTAAGTTGAGGACCACCTGTGTTTAGGTATTGAATATCAGATAATTAATTTTCACCTTCTTATCCATAGCCTGAAAATTTACTCTACCTAACTCCAGAAGAGGACTCCAAAATTATGATAACAGATTTTGGTTTGTCTAAAATGGAACAGAATGGCATCATGTCTACAGCATGTGGAACACCAGGATATGTTGGTAAATAAGAAAATGGAAATAACTTTTCAATTGTAATTTTATTTTATTTTATTAAAAATTACAATTTGCAACAATGAAAACTAAAGCAAACTAAAAAATAAAAGAAAAAATAGAAAGTGCATTAAAAAAGAGAGAAAAATAGAAAATGTGTAATCTCAGTGTCTTTTGGACACTGGGATTACACACTGATGGCACTGAGTGTGGTTTAAGCAAGACAACTATTTACTCATCTCCTATAACTTTTAAATGCATTGGAGATTGTTGCTTTGCAGTCTCCTTGTCAGGAACAGCTCTCTGGAGCACTTGTGGGCTATCTCAAGTTTTCTCCTCATTGTATGCAACTGTATATGCAAATTTAATTCTCTATGTGTCAGAGTACGCACAGTGTGACTAGATGAGACAACCCAGGAGCAATTGCAGTACACAGAGGTTTGTAGTTTAAATAGTGGTTTATATCTACAAAGACTATATACATACAAGTACTAGCCAGAGGTCAAAAAATTGATCAGCAATCAGCTATAGCATGGAAGCACACACACATGCACACAGAGATACACCCTAATATGGCCTCTCTTATAACACAGCCTCTTAAAGTGGTATCAGCCAAATAACCCTGTGACTCATTACTCATCATTGCACCATCATTACAGCATTACAACATTACAGCATTACAGCAGCTGGTCAGCAATTAAATCATTTAATCAAGATCAAGTATAACTGCTTTTGTAGGGATAAAACCACTATATGTAAATCCAAGCCTGTTTCCTCCTGGGTTGTTTAACCTAGTCACATTGTGCACTCTCTGACACTATGTGATTGGGACAGATTATGAAAGAAACACTTATATTCCTCTTCCTATATAATTGTAGGTGTAAGGTCTGCTGCAAGCATAGTAACTAATGCTTACAACCTAAACACAAGTGATCTGAAAACTATCATTTCATTTAGACAATATTTGAAAGAACTATTGAAACCCATTGATTAAATTCTGCTTTATATAAAGATGTATAAATTGCAGTTTTATCCATAGAATCAAAGCTACGCTATGGAGTACTAATTAAAACAAAACTTTCTCAGAGCTATAAGAGATATGAAGACTATATACTTTGTGGGGCTATGTCAATATATTACAATTTCAACAAATATCACATTGCCCTACATTCCGCAGCTATCTGTGATATATACAGTATGTATGTATCTTATGTTATACTCCTCAGCCTTCCAGAATAAATAATGTGTGTCATTGTTTATGTCAAGCATGCTATTTTCTTTGCTGTACCCTGCTACACCGAAATAATTTTTGAGATAATATAGATTTGGTTAATTTTTCAAAGATTGGTTGGTCATATCACCAGTAACTTGGGTTTTGTCATTTGTTCACTGCAGCTCCAGAAGTGTTACAACAAAAGCCATACAGTAAAGCTGTGGATTGCTGGTCAATTGGAGTTATTACCTACATCCTGTAAGATAATCTGTGAATTACAGCAAAGTTGATAATGTCCCTGAAAAGTCTTAGGTAGTCCTTAGAAAAGATATATTAACAGCATGCTAAACCCAAATAAAAAGTAGAAAGAAACCATTAACACATAGTGGCCCATTAAGAGTAAAAAGAAAACAATAATTATTATTCACTGTATTTTAGTATCTTCTATTTGGTTGCATATTTTTGTAACAAGTTTTATAAAGTTTATGATTTCTTAGAAGTGATAGGAGGGGGTAGAAACACCTTTTCCACTGCCATTGGCTCACTAGTTATAGCCATTTCTGGATTGGGTTTAGACAGAGCAATCCATGTGCTGGTAACCTCAAGACTAAATTATTATAAGCTAGTCTTATTAGGTCTATTCTTAAATCTGTGCCTGCTGCTAAATGTTGATTACTAAATATTGAGACCAACAGTGGTTGTTTCTATATCAAGCCACAATCTACTATATTTTTTTTTATAAAGTTTAGAATCTAATCTTCTGCCTTATGCAATGTCTTGGAACCAATTTGGTGTTGATACTACAATCTGAGAGAAGGTATTCTTGGCATATGTATTATAGCAATGAATTCCTCATCCTACCTCCACTTCCTCAAGTTCATTTAACCTTGCAAATATTCAATACAAACTGAAGACTTCTTCAGATCTTTGGTTAATACTGTGGTGCTTGGTTTGTCATATTTGTCATATTTTTTTTCTGGTAGTTTCACCCTACCATGGTTTTTTAAAAACTGGTTTGAAATATAGGAATTTTGTAAGGTTTCCTTCTATGAAAAAGTTTTATTATAAAATGCTCTTCACTACAAACTACGTAGTTGAATTTGTTTATACTCTATTTCCAATTCATTTTTTCCTTTCTAGCATTTTTCCACAAGCGTAGGGTCTGTTTTTGTGTGGCTCAAACAAGTGTTGATCCATTAGTAATGACTGGAACTGAATAACTAGCTTGGTCTCTGAACCTGACATTATGGGTTGAGAGAAGGGGCTGGCCCAAACTCTCCCAAGCTTGCTTTCATGCCTAAGGCTGGATTAGAACTCAGGGTCTCCTGGTTTCTAGCCTGATATTTTAATCACTAGATAAAACTTGCTCTTCCATTTATAATCCAATGTATTACAAATATTTATAGATGGATGGGGATGGTGTGGGGAGAGAGACAGACAAACAGACAGACAAATCTCTCCTTGGCTTATTTATTTTTTGTTTTGTTTATGTCTGCATTGTGACAGCACTCAAATAACCTTGACAGAGAATTATGCAATCTAAGGATCTGTCAGCAGTCAATACATCAGGAACATGCACTGATGCCTGTCATAAACTTTGTTAATTTGATGAACTAATTAAGTTAACTGATTACAGCAATTACACCAAGATGAAATTTGAAGGCTGGGAAGGTTCAAAAACACTGGCTGGGATTTCTTTCTTTCTTTCTTTCTTTCTTTCTTTCTTTCTTTCTTTCTTTCTTTCTTTCTTTCTTTCTTTCTTTCTTCCTTCCTTCCTTCCTTCCTTCCTTCCTTCCTTCCTTCCTTCTTTCCTTTCACAACAATGTCAACTTTCCCTGACTGAGAGTTTTTATGCACATCCTTGACTAAACTCCCATCAATTCCGCCTAGATGAGAATAATCCAATAAAACTTGAAGGCTTTAGTTTGAAGATATCTGTTCCAAGGATATACTCTATAATGAACACTGAATCTGACTTAATATTAAGATGCCATCTCTACAGGCTTTATACATGTTATTCAAAAGCCAATGTTCTTTCTTCTCTGGAGCATAATTATGCTTGGATAGAAACTTGCCCTTTCCATTGGCAACTGACATCCAATATGGAACCTCTCATCCTTTTTTTATAAATATCAGACTATAGCTATAATGAGCTATGTATAGTTCACAATTACCCTATATTAAATATCTATCTACCAATCAATCTTTTTGAATTTGTATAGAAAAGGATTATAAATGTATTTTGTCTTTTCCTCTCTCTTTTCCAATTTAATTTAGCCTGTGTGGATACCCTCCTTTCTATGAAGAAACAGAGTCCAAATTGTTTGAGAAAATCAGAGAAGGATACTTCGAATTTGACTCTCCATTTTGGGATGATATCTCTGAATCAGGTATTTTTTTTAAAAAAATATCTGCTAGCATTGTGTCTACAGATGAGTATATACAGTAATTACACAACTATTGAGTAGTCAAGTGTTTTTTTTTAAAGTATGTATTCAATGATTTGGGGAAACTACTCTGATTCCTGGAACTGCTGTGCCATGTTTTTGATAGATGTGTGCGTGTGTGGCTGCGCAGGGGACAAAAGCTGTTGCAAGCAGGTGCTGTGTTCTGTGATGCTGTATCCCATTGAAGCATTTGAAGGTGCAGGTGTTCTTTCAGAACCTGCAGCACAATTAATCATGTTGATTATTATCAGACGCCTCCTTGTTTCTAATAGATTTTGCTTAAAAAATAAAATAATTGAAAATAAATTGATAAGATGAATTTTAAGTACACCCTCTTTTTAGAAGAAACAGTTTGGTAAAGAAGGTTTTAAGCATGTATGTGCAAGGGGAACCTTTACCTTATTATTATATGGTACTCATTGTAATCTTTTTATATTGGCTAGAGGTGCATGTCATCAGTTTGATCCCTAATAGTCAAACCTAATGCTCTGGCAGATTGGTTTTGGCTTCTGGCTTTTGTGCTAAAGCCTCTTTCTCTGTTTCCTTCTTTTTTCATTCCTTTTAAACAGCCAAAGATTTCATTTCTCATTTACTCGAGAAGGATCCAAATAAGAGATTTACCTGTGACAAAGCCCTCAGGCATCCCTGGTGAGATGGATAATGTTATTGCATTTTTTTAAAGTGCAATTCTGTGATACAGTGAGAAATTTTGTAATTATATTCATGTGGAATTAGCAGTGTAACATAAAATATAATTTTTGATTATTATTTTTTTCAATTAACTAATATGGATGTCAATGTGCATAGGAAGCTATTATATGCCTTAGACTTTAGGTGTCTTAGACTTCAAAAGAGCTTCAACAAACTTAGAGAGAGCTTGAGAAAGATTCCATGGATGAAAACCTTAAAGGAGAAAAGAAGCTTGGGAAACTGAAAAATGTGATTATAAAAGCCAGTCCATCACAAATCATGTGAAAAGAAAAATAAGAAATCCAAGCATAAACCAGCATGATTGCATCAAGAACTTTCTGATAAACTGAAATACAAAAAGGACAAAACTAAGGCTTAGAATGAATTAAGGCTTGCAACAATTAATAATGTTTTGTCAACATGTAAAAAATAAGAAAAAAATCTAGGAAATATTGGAATATTTCCACTAATGGAAATATTAATGGAATATAGTGGAATATTTCCACTAATGGGAGAAGATGGTAAAGAAGCGATGGGCAGCAGGGAGAAAGCAGAGTTACTTAATTGATTTTTAGCAACTGGCTTTACCAAAGGTAAAAAATAGCCCATCCTACCAGAAGCAGAACCATAAAAGACAGACTGGGAATTCAAATTAAATTAGGCAAGAAAATGGTAAGACAACACCTGTTCATCCCAGACTAGTTCAAATCACCAGGACCAGATGGATTACACCTCAGAGTTCTGAAGGAGCTGGCAGACATGATCTCAGAACTATTGAACCATATCTTTCAAAAATCCTGAAGCAACGGAGAACTACCAGAGGAGTGGAAAGGAGCTAACGTGGTTCCCATCTTCAAAAAGGGGAAAAATAGATCCAGGAAACCACAGACCAATCAGCCTGACATCTATACCAGGGAAGATCCTGGGAAAGATAATCAAGCAACAGATCTGTGAACACCTAGAAGAAAGCAAAGTCATAACGAGAAGCCAACATGGGTTTCTCAAAAAGAGATCATGCCAAACAAATATTACTGCATCATTTGACAAAATAACTAAATTAGTAGAACATCAAAATATACTTGAATTTCAATAAGGCATTTGACAAAGTAAATCATAACCTATGTATTGGTAAGTTAGAAAAATGTGGGATAAACAGCATCACTACTAGATGGATGTATAATAGGCTGACAAACTGCGCTCAATGTGTAATCCTCAATAGAACTACACTTACATGGAGGGAAGTATGCAGTGGCATATCCTAAGGTTCTGTCTTAGCAACAGTACTCTTCAAAATCCTCAAAAATGATTTAGATGAGAGGATAAAAAAGGAATTCATCAAATTGCAGACAACACCAAGCTGGCAGAAATAGCCAACACCCCAGAAGACACACTCAAGATCTAAATGGATCTTGACAGACTTGAACATTGGGTTCTAGCTAACAAAATGAAATTCAATGGTAAAAAAAGTAAGGTTTTACACTTAAGCAAGAAAAACCAATTACAGAGGTATAGAATATCTGGCTCAACAGCAGTAACTGCAAGAGGGATCTAGAAATTCTAGTGAGCAATCACTTAAATATGAGACAGCAGTGTGCTGCAGCCACCAAAAAAAACCAATGCAGTCCTAGACTGCATTAACAGAGGGATAAAATCAAGATCACATGAAGTGTTAATATCCCTTTATAATGCCTTGGTAAGAGTGCATTTGGAATATTGCATCCAGTTTTGATGATCATGATATAAAAAAATGTTGAGGCTTTAGAAAGTGTGCAAGATTATTATTAGGGGGCTGCAGGCTAAAACATATGATGAACGGTTGCAGGAATTGGGTATTTCTAATCTAGTGAAATGAAGGAGTGGGGATGACATGATAGCAGTGTTCTAATATTTGAGGGACTGACAGAAAGACTCTAGGGTCAACCTATTCTCCAAATAGGTTGCAGGACAAATAGCAGGACAAGAAGCAATGGATGGAAACTTAACAAGGACAGAATCAACCTAAAACTAAAGAGAAATTTCCTGACAGTGAGAACAATTAACCAGTGAAATGGCTTGTCTCTACAAGTTCTGGATGCTCCATTACTAGAGATTTTTAAGAAGTGATTGGACAGCAATTTGTTGAAAAGGTATAGGATCTTCTGATTGAACAGGGGATTGGACTAGAAGACTTCCAAGGTCCCTTACAATTCTCTTATTCTGTTATATGCCTTTACTGAAATTACATGCAAGAGATGACATGGCACTAAGTGATGATTCCCTACTCAATACTCATTGTGGTCAGCCATAATAGTTCAGTTAATTAATGTATACATTTTATAGATAGTAAATAGAACTTCTGGCTGTTGATGATAGATAGACCTTCTCAGTCTTAACAAGATGAATAATATGATATACTGTATATACCTCGCATCTGGCATAGTAACTGTCCTTGGAACTGTGCAAAGCTTCAGAGAGGTGGTCACTTTAGCAATGCTTTGAATGATGCAGTTTTATAAAATAGAACAGTCTTCTGTAATAGCAAAATATCCACTTATTTTACGTTGCCTTACTCTTGAACTTTCCCTACTTCCTAATAGTGCATGCAAAAATCTCTACTGATTCCTGGAAACTCAAATGAAGGCTTCAAGGTCATACAAGTCACCTTATCAAGTACAATCCAGTTGTCTCTGCAGTACAATCAAAACTATGTTGCCTGGGCAAAAGTACCTTTTTGAGACAAACTCAAACCACTCAATCATAGAAAGATGTCAGCCAGAAGTTACAAGAATGCAAAATATATCACTCACAAACACTATCTGTCTACATGTCTGTTCTCCTCTTACTTAATTTGCAGGATTGGTGGAAACACAGCCCTCTACTGTGACATCTATCCATCTGTCAGTGTACAGATCCAAAAAATTTTTGCAAAAAGCAAGTGGAAGGTAAGTAACGATGTTGCTGTCCTGGGATTTTATGCTCTGGTATACTTCTGTCAGGAGCATGGAGATAAAATTTCCATTAAAGCTCTCATTCCAAAAGCCCTGTAAAATACTACTACCCAGGTAGCTAAGGGTTTAACACAATTTTGGACATGTCATATGGTAGCCATAGCACTTAGACTTATATACCTGCTTCATAGTGCTTTACAGCCTTCTCTAAGTTGTTTATAGAGTCAGCATATTGCCCCAACAATCTGGGTCTGCATTTGACTGACAAAATATAAAATGAATTTCCTCAGTGGATACAGAAATATTTGGCAATTTGTTATATAAAGAGTTATATTAAGGGTTGTATAAGGGTTGCTGTGTAAAGAGTTAATATAAGGGGTGGAGCACAATGGCTTATCAGTTAAAGATGATCAGTTTGTCAGCTGGAAAGCTGGCAGCCTGAGTTCAAGACCCAAGCACTGCCCAACAGGGTGGAAAGGTAACAGCATTCCATGGCATATAGTCATGCTGGCCATATGATCACAGAAACTGTCTTCAGACAATGCTGGCTTCTTCTGCCAAGAAATAAAGATGAGCACCACCCCCTAGAGTTGGACATGAGTGGACAAGGGAAACCTTTATCTTTTATATAAAGAGTGGCAAATATAAAGGGCTGCCATGAATTTCAAAACATCCATGTGTCTTGAAAATATTATGACATCTTCATTGCATAATTTAGACTGCAGAAATGATGGGTGGGCAACCAGTGGATGCTTTTTCCTTTTGCTCCTTTTTTATATTTTTGGTGGGGGAGGGTTCTTATTGCATATTATTTTTTAATGTATTGTGACTTACCCAGAGTCATTTGGATTTGATGATTGATAGAGATAAGCGATATGAAGTGGTGCGGTGCGGTACGGTGCACTGCGGTGCGGTGCAGTGCGGTGTGGTGCGGTGTGGTGATCTAGAGGTGGAGCTTTCACCTCAGAATCAGGAGGCTATGAGTTTGATCCTAGATAGAGGCAGACATTTCTCTCTCTCGGCTCACTGGGAATATACATCTGCTGAACAAAACTCCACATTGGTGACAGGAAGGGCATCCAGTCATTAAAACACTCTTCTAGCTTCATTCAGTTGCCCAGACTCCACCCCTCAAGGGACTATGGCGTCATTAAAAGAAGATGATGATGATAGAGATAAGAGATATAACTAAATTGTATATGTGCTTCAGTGGTGGTATTCAGACGGTTCACAATGGATCGGGTAAACTAGTAGCAAGAATTTGGCATGGGTCGCTGAACCGGGAGTAAGTTCTGGCTGGCCACGCCCCCCACCGGGTCACCCCCCCACCCGATGCTCGCTCACCCCGCCCGTCTGCCTGACATTCGTCTAAGGTATGTATTACTTTTTCCCCCCTCCCGATAATCAGCTGTAGATAAGATCAGCTGTGCCAGGATTCCCCTTGCTGAGGCCCAGGAAGGCAAAAAATGGAAGGAGGAGCTCAGGTCCCCCCTTCCATTTTTTGCCTTCCAGAACCCCAAAGGAGCCTTAGGGGAGCAAAAACACACACCCCAGAGGCTTCTCTGAGGCTAGAAATCTCCCAAACGGAGCTTGGAGGAGTGCTGCATGCCCCTCCCATGCTCTGTTTTTTTCCTTCCTGAGCCCCAGAGGAGCCTTAGGGAAGCAAAAATGCCCCCCCCCCCCCACCGAGGCTCTTCTGTGGCTAAGAAGCTCCCAAAAACTGGTGGGGACTGGAAAAAAAGCCACGCCCACCCAGTCACGTGGCCACGCCCACTGAGCCATGCCCACAGAACCGGTAGTAAAAGTTTTTGAATACCACCACTGATGCACTTACTAGGAAATAAGCTCAATTGAACATATAGGATCATTTGCTCTCAGACAAGCTTCATAGAATTGCATGTATTTACAAGCGCTTTTGTAAATTTTTGTTGCAGGGACAGACAAAATACTTGGTAACTGAGTTTGTAAGTTTGTAAACATTCATTTTAACTACCATAGGCATCAGGGAGCATTTTGAAGTCATGATGACATGAACAGATCTCACAGAGAACTTTTAAGCCCATTTTTTTTCTTCTTGTGAATTAACCATAGTGGGAATAGTGGGAAATACATTTTTAGCTGCGCTATTTCAGAGTAGATTCCAAATTCCTGTTAAGACACTCTTCTTCAAGAGGTGTAACAACAATAAAATATTGTTAACTGAATTACATTGATCAAATTTCAAAAGTCTCTAAAGGGTCAGACAAAAATATAAGCAGTATAGAGCTGCTTATAGTTTGTGTTCCATGGTTTATCTACCTTTGTTTTATTGTACATCGTTCTCAAGCCTTCATACCATATTCATATATAGTGTCAGCTAAGTTTCCTTGTTACTTTTTACCAATAGCGAATGGAGTACTAGTGAGATCACAAGAACTTGGGGTCTGCTTCCAATATCTCTCTAGGTAAATTTTCAGCAGCAGCTTATGAACATACTCAGCATTCTTTAGTCTGGTTTTGTAGAGAACTACAGGTACGTATATAATTCTCATAAATCTGGTGATCTTCTCCTTTACTAGCAAGCCTTCAATGCTGCAGTTGTGGTCCACCATATGAAGAAACTACACATGAATGGTCATCATGCAGAGGATAATGTCAAAAGTCAAGTACAAGTACAAATTACATCAAGGCCTAATACATCATCCATTACTTACAAGGAACAATCAAGTCAAGACACCAAGAATTTGATCCCGGTATTATCCTATCAGAATACTTCAGATCTTTGTGGCCTACATGCCAAGAAGACAGAAAGTAAATATTTAGATAACCCAGGTAGCACATCAGTCCATGTAACTTCTGTAACTACAACAGATGGCCAGAGCCATCCAAGCAGACCTCCAGAAGGTGGGACACGTGACAAAGTGAAGGCAATGTTTTGCTCAGAAGCAGTACTCATAAAAAGGGATGCCAAGACACAGTAAGTGTCCTTTGGAATGATCAAACTAAGTTTCTAACTGCCAAGTAGAGATTTCAGTAGCTTTCCCAATCTGCAATTTCTAATTGTTGGCTATACTATCTAGAAATCATAGTAATTGGGGTGTCAGCATATTTGAACATTTGGCAAACACTTGAGTTGGTGTAAGTAATGTGGCATCAGGAAAGGAGAAGAAAAGCAAAAATCCCTCTTTAAGGAAGATGGGCAGTTCAGAAATATGAAATATAAATAAATAAATAAATAAATAAATAATAAACAAATAAATAAGCAAATGAATGAATAAATAAATAAATAACTGTGGATTAGGAAACAGCAATTTCTATTTCACTTATTTTGAAATGCATACATTTCCTTTAACCAAGGGAACTCATGATATAACAATAACAGAAACAAAAACAACTGTTGTAGTAAATAAATGAAAAATAATAAAATAATAATAATCCTATATAACAATACAATGTTTAATAATGAAAAATATGGAACATCATTATGGTCCAATTAATTTTAGACTAAAGATCTCTGGCCATTAAATACTAGCTAGAATTTATGGAAGGTAACTGATCAATTGAATCTGAAAACATTGTCTAAAATGAACTATGCTGATAGACATATATCATAACCATAATTATGTGAAGCTCTATGATTGCATTTATCAATTCAATGATAGTTGTATTATGATTTTATCTCTCTACATGAAAAGGTCAGGATGGAAGAAGCATGGTCTGAATATACATTGCCATCTTCCTCCATAATGTGAATCCTTTGCAATACACCTATAGTATCACTGCATGCATGGAGGAAGATTCAGAATAGAAAATCAAATAGAATAGTAACTCCATCTGTACTGCATTAATCCTATTGAATTCCACTGAGCAGAATAGATATGCATCTTATGAAGTGCATGGTAGTTTTCATCACCTTTCCAAGCCATGGGTTAGTTCATGTACAATATATAGGTTACAGTATATAGCATGTGTATCTCTCTCTCTCTCTCTCTCTCTCTCTCTCTCTCTCTCTCTGTGTGTGTGTGTGTGTGTGTGTGTGTGTGTATGTGTGTGTGTGTAAAATCATCATACACTAACTGCAAAACAACAACAGTTTTTTGCTTTGTTTTCCTTTCAAACTTTTCTTTCAAACTCAGTCACTTCAACTCAGAAGTCCTTGTTCCAGTCAAAGCCACTAATCACACTTATTTTGGAAGTGGGCAAACTGGTGTTTGCTTGGTAATGTGATTGAAAAAATGCCTACTATACGTATAAAACATATATCTTTACAGGTAAGTATATGAGTGCAACTCACATTCACTTTTCTAGCAAAGAATAGTGAAGGATTTAAATATTGCTACCATTTCATGATCTCCCAATTATGCTGAGTGCAGAGCAAGGAAATGTCTTTACTGTCACGTCAGCAGTTTTGTTCATGGAAAAGTGTACACCCCAGCCTTCAATATAGAGATGTCAGGACTACTTTACCAAAGCTGGCAGGGTAGGGAGGCAGGAAAAACCAAACTTGGATCATCAGCTTATTCTACAGATACCCTGAGACCAATAAAGAGTCATATTCTGATACATTTTTTCCAATGAGTCTCTAATTGCTCCAAAAGCATAACACCTTTTTAAAAATAATTAATACACCTCTTCTAAAATGGCTGGTGTATTTCTTTCTGCAAGTTCTCTCTCAAACGATACATATTTCTATATACTAAGGAACATCTTTGAAATCTTCATAACAAAAGAAAAATCAACCAGAGGCCATATCAGATTCAAAAACCAAGAATGACACATGGTGATTCTTCCAAGCTGAGTTCTTTAATGACACACGCTGAGTTCTTTATTGTTTCCACAACTATAGATAGAATCTTACCAGACTAAACACTACTGTCTGCATGTTTTTTCCCAAAAGCCATCACTCTGCTAAACAAATAATTCCCTCAACACTGTTCAACTATTTACAAAGAGTACACTACTGTTACTGTTAATCTTCTCACCACTCCTTATCACCCATCCCCTCCCACTTGACTGTTTCCTAGTATGATTTGATTGTTGATTGTACCCTTTGACTATCATTAAGTGTCGTACGTTATGATTCTTGATTCTTAATGAATGTACCTTTTCTTTATGTATACTGAAATTATTTACACCAAGACAAATTCCTTGTGTGTCCAGTCAGACTTGGCCAATAAAATATTCTATTAACATATACCTTGAGAACTATTAGGGAGGAGCTGTCTTCACCCTCTTTCTGTCACACAAAATATCTGGACTGAGTTGTCTGTTATTTCTCTGAAATACACCCCTTCCCTTCTTGAAATCCAGCTTGCTACGCTCCATCACTGGCAATAAAATTATCTAGGATGTGCTTTGTTCCAGATAGCTACCATGAACTAATAAATTGATATGTTTCCATTATATGATTATATTTTATATTATGCATTGCTTTCACCACTTGGTTTATAATCTCAATATTAAGGTTGTTTATATATAGATATTACTATTTTAATATATTGTGTTAGCAAAACTAGCTATTAGATATCTTTTATAGTTTTCACTGAAATAATGGTAATTTTTATTGATGTTTTTAAATGCTCTTCTATGACCCCAAAAGAAATTGATTTTTATGAGACTTTATAGTTAACGTTTTAATAACAGTATAAATAACATACAGAATTTATGCTAATTAATGTAGTTTAATAAGAAAAAACAGACAGAAAACAACTTTTAGTTGGAAATTATTATATTGTGCATAAAACTATATAGTAGTTTTTGCCAAGCTACTTTCTTCACCACAGTTCAGTATCTGTTAGGTAAGAACGACAAATCTCTATAAATATTTTTTTCAAAAGAAACCAAAATTTCCTGGATCTTTCCCCCCCAATAAAATGTACATCATATGAGTTCTATTTTTCTCCTCTCTTTTCAGAAGGGCTGCTTGATATTTCTGTTGAAACTGACCATCAAATATCAACCATGCAGAAAGGGAAGGCCTGTCTTGAACAATGCCATTGAGGACTGCGTTCCTAGATGCCCACAGCCGATATTTTCTATAAAGCACATGCACAGAACTGAGAGTTCATATGGTTCAACTATCTTGAAATATTAGAGGGTTGTTTCATATAAACTGGAAAACAATTCTTAAAAGAAAGGTTCTGTAATCAATGGATAAACATGATCAAACTCTTTCTTTTTCCTTTATCGGAAGGTGTGGATACATGTTTGTACATCTGTGCTTGTTCAGTAGACTAAAGAGCAATTGCAAGGGGTGCAATGTTGTTTTTGTGTTGAGTCCATTAGAGCAGTTGGTTGAAGCAGAAAATATCGCATGCTGGCTTGCTTGTGGCCCTTTAATTCTGTATCATGATACAGAAGCAATTTGCTCAGAATGCTTGCTGACACTGCCATTTGTTCTAACACAGTTTGCATGAGTTGATTCCACAGGAAGTAAGGGGACACCGTCTCTACTTCATTTATGAATTTCTGCTTGTGTCAGTTCTGGCATTAATGTAATATACATTGTTCAATAAAGTTTGTTGGTTCTTAAATGGCTGATAGTTATTTATTGATGGATTAATATAGGTTAACAATCTTTCACTGTCAGATTTGTTTCTGGCAGTACAGGTAGTTCCCCAGCTTACACAATGGAGCCCAACATTTCTGTTGTTAAGTGAGTCATTTGTTAAGTGAGTTTTGCCCCATTTTATGACCTTTCTTGCCCCAGATGTTAAGTGAATCATTGCAGTTTAGTAACCTGATTGTTAAGTGAATCTAGCTTCCCTATTGACTTTGCATTTCAGAAGGTCCCAAAAGGGGATTATGTGACCTTGGGACACAGCAATGGTCATAATCATGAACCAGTTGCCAAGCATCTGAATTTTGATCACGTGACCATGGGAATGCTGCGAAGGGCGTAGCTGTGAAAAACAGTCATAAGTCATTTTTTTAGTGCCATTGTAACTTTGAATGGTCATTAAATGAACTGTTGTAAGTGAAGGACTACCTGTATTTTATCTGCAAACAGATATTTTATATTAGTAAAAAGAACTGGTGTTGGATAAAAAAAAAGTTTTATAATGGGCTATGAGATCCAAGAAACAGATACCCTTGTTTATTTATATTGCTTTCTTAAACTTGCTTGAATCCAGATTCTGCTTGTATGAAACTTATGCAAAAGTATATCTTCCTATTAAAAATTGTTATCAAGAATGTTTGAATTCAAGTGATTAATTTTAAATATTATAACAAATAAATTAGTATATCCACTTCTGGTTTTTTTTCCCTAAAGCTTGACCTATAGCAATGTTTCAAAGCTAGAGAAGATGGAAATATTTTCTTTGCAGACATGAAGAAAGCAATCTTAATAAATTAGGCAGAGGGAAGGATTCATCAGGAAAGGAGCAGAAACTGTTCTAATTTGTGCAACTGGCATAATATGCAACTTGTCGACTGATATAATCACGAATTGTTTCCACTTTTTTATCCAGGCCTTTCAGCCTGTCTGACTTGAGGATGAAGGCATTGTTACTCTCCTGTAGCTCTGTTTCTAAAGCTGAGGAATGAAACAGAAATAGGTTAGATGCAAAGAAACTCTTTTCCTTCTCTCTAATTCATTATAACATTATAAAAGTGACCATTCAGCCTGTTCTGATTTTCTATAACATCTTTTAACATGTATTCTTTTCATGCATGCCTGTTCAATACAATAAGGCAACCCATATGCAAAAACTATTAGCTGCACATGCTTGCCCCTCCCTCTTATTCTTTGTAGATCTGTTCCACTACCTCAGCCTCTAACTATCCTGTATTGAATGTTAAATGAGGACAATTCTACTGAAATTTGTTTGAAAGACAGTAAATTCTATGAATAGGGTACCCTGCTTAGTTTTCTGACTTTGCAAGAATGTTGCTCAACAACTCAAATGAGCAAAAGAAGATCACAGAGCAGAATATTTTTAATTCAGGGTTGAAGTGTGGGGTCCTTGGGGTTCACTGAGCTTGATTGTTTTCTTGTAGACATTTCATTACCAAACTAGGTGATGTCATCAGTACAAGAAAGGAGTGAGGTTTGCTCTCTTTTTATATACTAGTGGCTTGCCCTATCAGTGTTGGTGGGAGTGTTCTTGGTGGTTCCCTGATTAGGCTGTTGTTTATGGTTAGCTTATTTGTCTGAGTTGGTAGTTCCTTGACTGGGGTATTGTTTATTTCTTGATTGCTATTCTAGTATTAATCTTGCTGTTAACTTCTAGATGAACTCAGATTACTCAACCAATCTATTATAAGTATTTATATAGTAAATCCTCTACATAGCATTATCTGTTGTTTTATGAAGCAAAATAATTATTCCTAGTTCTATTTCCATCTTCCATGCCATATGTCAGCTTTGGAAGCCATATTAGCACCAGGCACTTCCACAATGCCACATTCTTAAGCTTAGGAAAATGGGAGGGGGAAATTTCTTGGAGCATATGTGGTTAGACATAATAGCATTCTTCTTCTAAGTCAAGGTCATGTTATTTCTGCACCTGGTTGAAAAGTCATCTCAATCTGGGATGGATGGTGATTGGGGCATGTGATGCAATGGGGGTGTGCAGTGGGTGGATTTGTAGTTTTTACTTATTGCAAGGAAACCCAGAACTTTCAGATTCGAGATTTCCCAGATGTGCCATTTTCCTACTCTAATAAAAAGAACTTTGTCTCAGAGTTATTTGTTGGAGTGGAGGTTTTCTGGAACACTGATTTTTCTTCCCCATAACAGTAACAATAAAGAAATTCATTCAGCTTCCCTAAATGATTGGAAGAACTTGACCCAACATTAAGGAACTGCTGTCTGTCACATAACATCCAAAATCAGTTTTGCCTTTCTGTCTGAAAAAGCTTCATCTCCTTCTGGTAAGACCAAATGAATGTGGACATTGACGTCAGCCAGCACTGCTAAATGTATGCTCATCATGTTTTGCATGAGAAATTGCCTGGTGGCCTATTTAACAATATTAACATTCATCGCTGCATTCAGCCAATTCTGAGCAATAGTAACTGCCTCTCATCAGCCAGCTGCTAAATCTCTGGCTCTGAGAGGCACCTTCAATGAAAGACATTCATTAAAACTACAGCTTTATCAATGAAAACAGCTCCTTTAAAAAAATAACATATCTGGCTTCAAGCCACTTAGTTATTCATACTACACCTGCCACAGGAGTCAGAGCATTTTGTCTACACACTGGCTGCTTCCCAAAACATATTGAGCAAAGTTATTAGATCTGAAAGCTTTAAACTG